ACTATTTTAAAAGTGCTGTTATTTGAGATCAAACTTTATCAGAAAAAAATTCGGGTAATATTTAAATGTAAAATTATTAATATATACAGTGAGACCTCTCTAAATGCACACCCCTTAGGACCATAGTGAAAATTTGAAAAAAATGTGCATTTAAGGAGGGTGTGCATTTAAAGAGAGAAATTTGTATGATCTTTATATACTTGGGGCTGTGTGAAATGTGCATTTATAGAAAAAATATATATGCGTACATTTAGGAAGGATGCATTTAGAGAGGTCTCACTGTATTTAACAATTCAAATAATAATAATAATATTTTTTTTAGACGCCAGAAAATGAATCAGAAATTTTATATGTTATTAATTAAGTAAGAAATAAAATCAGAGAATCTTAACAATAATGTGAATTTCATTTACTAGGATATTTAATATTTAATAATGAACATCATCTTAAATTAAATGATGAATTAATAACTATATATGTATGAATTATAGTAGATATTTTATTGATAAAATTTAATTGTAATTGTCTAAATATCAAAGTCTTATTTTTATTTAAAATAGGCTAATAAAATAAAGAATGTTAATGAAAAAAATTTACCAAAAATGTCATTTTTGATAAAAGCTGTTATCAATATCCTTAAAATAAAAGATTACTAATAAATATAGAAAATAATGATTTGGATATATCAAGTAAATATTTTTAATTATTATTTATACTTATTTATTTTATTTTTTAAATAATATTTTTTATTATTTTAAATTAAAGCTACTCTGATTATATTTAAATAACTTTTAATAATTTTATATTATTTGTATTTCCTAATGGAATCTCTAATGGTAAAAAATTTGTTATAAAATCATCACCTAATATTGATGCAAAAGAATATTTATCTGATCAACTAATAAATGATGTGCTTATCAACAACTTGTTAATACTGTATTTGGTTAAATTTAGAAACAATATTAGTAAATTTTGATAAACTTTTTTAATAAAGTTTTGCATAATCAAATGTATAATTTGTATATAATAAACATTTTTCATATTATAATATAATAAAATTTTATTTTTGATAAAAATATAATGAAAATTTAATTTAAATTTTTAATTTATATATCTATCATGTTTAAAACAAGCATTTTCTAATTCTTTTCCAATTGACATACAAGTTATATCTTCTACATTTAAGTAATTAGAAGTATTAAAAATTGAACTGAATAAATTTTTAAGCATTCATTTTGCCTTTTTATCTATTGCCAGATGTATATATTTATTTAAAAGGTCATCTTTCATACTGATATTTAGATTATCTCTTAACTCCTCTTCCTCTTCCAATTATACTAACTCTTCTTCTATTAACATTTCCTTCACTCCTTTAATTCTTATTTTCAATATTCAGAAGTAACAATAGTATTATCTTCATCAATATCTTTTTCAATTTTTTTAACAAAATCTTCAGAATCAGTTTTAATTGAAGAAGCATTTGAATCCAAAAATTAGACTTAATATTGTTGTAATTTTTTTTCTTTTAATGAAAAGTTAATAGATGCTCAGACTAATAATTTATTGTTTTGTTAAGATAAAATTAAATAATAAATATTTGTCAAATAAATATAAATAAAGAACATGTCACTAAATAAATAAAAAGAGCTATATTAAATTAATAAAATAATCATTATCAAATAAATAAATAAAGGACTATAGTCAAATAAAAAAAGAAATTAATAAAGGAACTCACCATTAAAATAAAGAAATAAAAGAATCAATCATTAATAAATTAATAAAAGAATCTGCCATTAAATAAATAAATTAAAGAACCTATAATTAAATAAATAAAAGATTCATTATCATCAATGTAAATTAATAAACTGTATAATAATCATCAAATAAATAAATTAATAAACTGTTATCAAATACAAATAAATAAAAAAATCTGTAATTAATAAATAACTTTCATAATTAAATATAAAGATTAACCTACTTTTAATTGATTATGATGAACTGTATATAAAAAACCCATGAAAGATCACATTTATTTGACAGAAGCTGCAATTGCACATATGCTAAAAAGCTTCAAAACAACTGCAACCAATTCTTTATAATCACTTTTCACATATTCCAAAATTTAAAGGCATTATCTCCAAATTTGTTTGAATGTTTTATTATTAAATAGATTAACCTTCTGATGAAAATTCTTAATATCTAATAATAATTATAATGTGCATTTTTTAAACCATGTTTTATAATAGTATGTCAAATACTTTCTTAGAGAAGTAAATGACAAATTATTAAGAATAAAAATAATAGCTACTTCTTTTAGCTTTAACATTTTTTCAATTATTCAATCATTTGATTTTCTAAATCTGAATCTGAAAATTTTTTCCAAAATTGTATAAAATATCCATGAGCATGAAGTACTTCAAAAAGACGTGTTTTGTCACATTGTAACTTATTTAAAATATCATAATAAGATAATAAAACATCTTGTAAAAGCTTAATTTTTTCCTACCAATCATTATCAAGAAGTACTCAATAAAGTTCTAAATTCAGATAAAGCTTATTAGTATTTTTTGAGCCAATTTTGAACGTTTGTAATGAATTGCTAAATTCTAAAAATTAAATAAAAAAAATAATATTGTATTATTACATTATTATAAATAATAATTTTAATTGAAAAAATTATATTTACTCATAAAGCTTATTTAAATCAGATAAGACTTTTAAAGTAGAAATAGTAATTGTTTCATCTTATTTTACCAGGAATTACAATTGAATAATATTTGTTATATAGATCATTCTGAATATCTTGCAATTTACCAATAAAATAACTGTTATTTGCATTTTTAAAGTAAGCAGCAACTGTAATTGCTTTACTAGATGCATGTTTTAAAGTGATGATTCTTTAAAAATATTATCAATTGCCAGTTGATATTGGTATGCAAAACAAGGAAGGAAAACAATTTTAGAATATTCTAATTGAAGTTATCATCTATGAATAAATGATTAAATAAATATTAGTTTGAAATTAAATAATATATTCATTAATATAAATTTTATTTACTTATCATATTGTAGCATAAGTTAGTATACTGTCAGATACAATTGCATTAAGTTTAATATCTAATTTTTTAATTTCTTAAATCAATTCTATTATTTTTAATATTACTTCAATTAATTGTTTTTGTTTACTACTAATATCTAAAACTTCTTATATTAAAATTTCACTTGAAGATGATATGAATATTAATCCAAATATGTGCTGATTTAAATGTTTTTCTATCTGTCAAATGCTAATACCATTCCAACTTTATCATTAATCAATTTTTCATCTCTTAAAGTATTTATATTTTCAGTTTCTTTTGTTAATATACGATTAGATAAAGCTTTTCTATTTGGTAAAATAAGGCATGATTTAAAAATTCAAAAAGTTCTAAGGTTGCTAGATGATCAATCCACTGAAATGAAAAACTATTTACTACTGACATTTTTAATAAAAGACATTCAAATTTTAGTATTTCGTTTTTAGTAAAAATTCAGATAAGATTATTTTTAATTATATTTATTTCTAAATTAGAGTTACATGTAGATAATGATGATATTAATGCGAATGATTCAAATGACTTTACTGAACCCATTTCTACTGATTTAAAATTTGGAACTTTGAAATTATATTGCAAAGATTTTTAATACTTTAAGACCTTTTTATTACCCTTATCTGAATCATCATTTACTTTTTGATATTTCTGATCTATTTCTTCATTTCATTATCTGTTAAGTTGATAATATCATTTAGTTTCCAATTTTTTCTTGAAAATATAGATAGTTTTTCAAATGATTTTTGACTTGTGGTTTTTTATTCGTAAAAGTATTTTTTAAAAGCTCATTATTTTCTAATTTTTCAATGCAATCAATACATGTCGCATAGGTATTGCATGAATTTTGTTTTCCTAAAACCTTTATATATTTTATAAGGCGATAAGTTCTAAGTCTTTTTTATATCATTAAAAAAAGGAAAAAAAACAAAAATGATTATCAAACATATGATCTAACTATAAATAAAATAATAAAATTACTAATGATTATATCTAATATCCAAAAAAAATTGATTAGAAGCTTCTAATATACATAAGGAATTAGAAGATTGGCATCTTCCAATACTTCTAATTCTAATAAATTTTACTGGAAGCTTCCAATGCTCATTACTGCTTTAATTATCGATGCATTATCTAAAATTAAAATACTATATAATCTAAAAAATGGATTCATTTTTGGTAACTAAAAAAATGCATAACATATTGTAAAATGAATATAATATATATAACTATTTATTATTATTCATACCAATACATTTTCTATAAAAAATTTAAAGTCCTTTGAATCCATTGGACCCTCTTGAATTTCTTAAGCTAAAAGTCCATTAACCATAATTCTATTTCATTTTGAATTTTTCAAATATATTAGTTATTCTTTCTTTTAAAAGAAAATCAAGATATTCAATATCATTTGAAGATAATAAGCGTGGTCTTCCACATAAAGAATGTAATGGCTTGACAAATCTAAAACTTTGAAAAAGGATTTATTATATTAGATACAGATCCCTTACATATATATAAATTTTAGTTATCTTTCGATGAGAATTTCTGGCTAACCATTTTTCTATAACTTTCTATCAAAAATATGTTGTTATTTTTTAATTATATCATTAAAATAAAATAAAAAATGAAAGTTTCGCAATAAATATTTAAAAATATTATTTATTATTATTTATATTGTACAAATCACAATGTATGAAATGTCTAAATTCAGGCTCAATTTTTAAGGGATGGTTAGCGAATTATGAAATTTGCTGTAATAATGCTTTTTTGGTTATTATTCTTGCCTTTTTCTTACTTTTTTTCTTATAATTTATGGGGTGAAAATTGCATGAATCTGAACTAGAAAGAAAGAAATTGGTTATATTAAGATAAAGAATAAGCAAAATATACGTAAATACCAAATAGCTCCTACACAGTTCCATCTAATAAGACGTCCAATTGCATTCCATAAGATTTCTCTAAAAACTATAATACAACAATCATGGCATCCTATCTGAATACGCATTCATAGCAATCCAGAAAAAGTAAGCTATAATAATAACTTTTAATAATAATTATATAATTGAAGCTGCATTGTGCAATACCTATTATGTCATAATAAATATAATCTTTTTGAAGACCAACGATTTGTATCTCTATATTAAGAAATTTTACAATATGAAAATGGTCTGATTCATTCTCAATCATTTTGACTAAAATAATCAGATTTTTGCCAGATAAGTCGAATATATTATCATTTAACAAAGATGACATGAAAATATCAATTGTCCATTTAGGTTTACTGTCTGGAAGTATAAAGTAATATGGCATTTTTGGATAGTCTTCTTTCTATAAAGAACCATTCAGGGTACTGACTCTGAGCAATGGCATCAGGATTGTGAGTAACCATTCAATTTTTCTCAGTTTAAATATTTGAATACTTTGTTTTCATTATTTTTACTTTCTCTTTTACTGTTAGTTCATCTCTTTCGTATACCTGTATTTTCTCTACTTTCATTATTCCTTTCTTTTCACAAATTGATATCTTGAAAAAGTAATTCTTAATATTATCACTTCAAGTAGAAAATGTGAGATTTATTGTAGTTGAACAAGCTAATGGATTCTCTTCCATTTCTATAATCTTGCCTACAAGGACCAACTGCATTTAATCCAAATATATGACTTGGTTTTCGAATTTTTTTATTGGAGAATTTACCTTATAATTGCATTTCACTTTTGGAGATTGACTTATGCTATACGTCTAAAGAAGGGCTACTGCATCTTACACAGTAATTATAAGAATTAAATGAGCAGATGGTTGAGTTTTTTCCTTACTCTTGTGGCCATAAGGCATTACAACTCTATTCAACCTACATAAAATAATGTTTTGGTAAATTACGAATGATACCCTCTAGTTTTCAAAATCTAAGGTTTCTTTTATTATTTTTCAAAACAGCCCATAATCAATCAAGCTACATCAGAATGACTATGTGATATAATGAATTTCATGATAAATAATTTTTAATATTTTATCTTTATGAATATATATAAAGTCATTATATCATTTTGGACAGCGAATTTTTTCAGTGAACCGGAGAATTTGTTATATTGAGTTCTAACTGTACTCACAATTACTTTTTTTTATGTTGTAAGGATCTATGAATTTCGTTATTACTGCTCTCATCTATAGTTCGTGTAGTTTCTTAAGCCAGTTGTATGTATGTATTTTGATAATAGAAATTAGTAAATAAATATAAAAACAAAAAAATAAGTGCAACCAAATTTATTCTAACTTACTTGTTATTTTCCATTTAACCATTTAAGGCTGGCAGATTTTATTTAATTTTGATTATTAAACAAAATTATATACACAATTATCATAGTTGATACAAAGTGATGAAATTCATTATACTGCACATGAATGATGCTAGGTGTAATAATAATAATTTGAAATTTAAGATTGTGATTTGCTTCTGATATCACCACTTTTTACATATCATCAGGTAATAAGCTTCAAGCTATAAATATAAATTAAATAGCACTAACTCGCTATACATGATAAAGTTTTTATACTTATGCTAACATACTTTTTAATTCATTTGATTTCTCCTGTATTCTAAGAATTAGGATCTTAATTGTAATACACAATATATTTATCTGCTAATTAAACATAGAGTCATATGTATTATAAGACTATTGATTATAAGACATCAAAATTTTTTGATGCTAAATAAACAAATTCCATAATTTTTCATATTTTTTCTGAAATGACAATTTCTGAGTTTTAGTCATATTATACCTCAATAAGTTTAATATTAAAGATTCTATTATCTTAATATATATATCTTTTTGCCGATCACAATTAACAATATCTTCGAGTTTTTTGACATCTTTATACTAGCTAATATTATAAAGCTGATGTTGTATCCCTTGCATTTCTAATACTATTCAATGATATCAGAAGAAAGCATCAGATTCTAATTCCTCATAAAAGATGATTAATATTTAACTATAAGTTTCTCTTCAAGCAATATTTGAGCAATTAGAAACATTTTTCCTAAAATTTACGATTTTTTTTTGATTCTAATTCTTTTATAAGTTCATCTATATCTTATTTAAATTTCACAACTCTAGCTCTAAGTTTGGTATTCTCAGCAACAATATCTGTCCTAATTTTTTCTAGTTCCTTGATTTTGACCTTAAACTCAGCTTTTTTAGCATCACGCCGCTTGGTATATTCCTTCCTAAACACTTCTAAAAACTTAATATACATATCCTCAATATCAGCTTTCTCAGCCTTAATCTTAATATTCTTGACTTCAAGCTGGTGAAATATTATTTTAATAAATCTATTTCAGATTGCATACCTGCTAAATATAATACTATTTATGCTCTGTATATAATATTCAAAATTAAAAAATCATGTGATTTCCTTGACCTAAGTTCAGAAAAAGTTGTCAATCACTTTTGCCAAGAAAAATCTTTTATTAATACATGTAAAAATAAATACAAAGATCAGAATATAACCTGTAATATATATTATATTTTAATAAATTTTGATTCTAGCTTTCTTACTAGCTAGGAAATTATTAATACTAATACGATCCTTTAGCAACCCAATAATAATACCTACTATTCTTTTCATATTACTTTAAAGTAATTCTCTTCCCTTATATCTTTGGCATAGTGAAAGATAATCTAACTATTTTTTGTAAAATATTTTCTTTAAATCAGATTAAGAAAAATAATAATAAGCTTTTTTTCTGAAAGTTTATGACCAAAGAAAGGATTTTCTGCAGATTTTTATCATACAATTTATGATTTAGCAAAAATTTTCTAAGCTGAAAATTACTACTTTGGATTAATAATCAGTATTCCAGATTTAAATTTTCTGTATTAAATATATCTTATTTTGACTTATTATAGCAATTATGAGAAGTAATACTAATAATAAAACTGATTTATATGAAACATTTGCTCAAATATATTAATTGTTTTTATATAAAAAGAAGGATATAATAGCAATTTAGAAAAAATTAGATATTAATAATGTTACAAATCAATATCGAAGCAAGATAAAAAACACTTGCCGATCATATGAGTTATTTTTACATTTAGTTAAAAGATAGTTCTAATACAGAAAATGCTCAGCATTGTTAGAAATCCTATTCTAGTAATGGTACTTCAAAGTAATAAAGCTTTTGCAGAAATATCATTTTCAAAATTATATAACTTATTTTTATATTTGAAAGAGAATGTAATGGCTATACATGAAGTCGAAATGAAAACCCAAAAAGTTGAAATGTTTCGACTTTGGAGGTCAAAGTCGAAATGAAAAGTCGAAATGGTTGAAATTACATTATATCACATGATTTTATATATAGAAAAAACAAAAAAAATAAAAGATGTATGATCTCGGTCAATATCACTCTGATTCGTATGAAACAACTACCATTCGATTCCTCACCCCTCTTTCTCGTTGGATTTTTTCCAAGAATTTTTACTTAAAAAAAGTGCCTGTTCAACGGCGGCCACAGCTTAGCTTACGAACAAACAAAAAAATCACACTTTTCAAAAATATTCCTCTCTTTGTTCCCCACATTCCTATCCACATAAAATTTTTCGAAATAGTCTAAAAAGTGTTGTTTTTTATTAAAATATTTTTTTCTTCACCTTTTTTTGAAAAAATTTTTTTTTTTTTCTCCTTTTCTTTTTGTCTACTCAAAAGTGAGCATCAAGGGATATTCTAACCAACGATCATAATCAACATACTTTGGATAAACAAATCTTATGTGATGACACCTTTTCTCTTCCTAAACAATATACTCTCTTTTGATTGGCCTTGCCTTTCTGCAGATTCTCTGTCGTCAAAGATCACGTGCAAATTTAGCGTGAATTATTATTTTGTTTTTTCATGAGGTCTTTTATATGGTATGATGGTAGCTACCACTTGGTTTGTATTTTGTTAGCCTACTGTAGTTTTAAATGGAGCTCTAGGTGGTCATTGCCATTTGCTTACTCAGTTTAAGCCCGCTTCGTCTAGATCTGTTCCTTTCTGATAACCAGGTAAAAGGTATAGGTTACTATCTGTTGATTCATTAAAGGGTTCTCATAGTGGATTTCACGTGATATTTTTTCTGTACTTATGAATCTACAAATATGAAGAGCCTTTGTTTAGACCTTTCTTTAGACGCATCCTCTTTGGTCGGGTGATCATTTATCCAGAATCAATTGGACATTTAGGTTTTTATAGAGTTGTGTTGCCTTTTTTAATAATTTCTATTTGTACCTATTTCCCTTCTTAGGAGGGTTGTTAGTTTTTAAATTTTATTTAGAAGTTG